GCGGGGGCTTTTCAGACTTTGCTGGATGCATGCTTGTTCCAGGCCAGTGACTTATTGGGGTAGCAAAGCCTCGGTCAGGGATGATTCTTTAGCACCTTTAACAAGTCGGCGATGGCGGCTCCCACATTTCTATCACAGAATCACTTGAAAGTGGGAGGAGCAAAGAGGAATACCTGCGTGATGAGGATCTGACGGAAGCTGCCACTTTCTCGAGCGCCACAAAGGTTTCAGGGGAACGACTTGGTGGATAAATGTGGCGGCTGGAACAAATCAACGGCAAGTAACCGGCCGTGCGACGGTTGCCGCCGCCGACATTCAGGTACACCGCGTTTCCCTTCTCCAGGTTGTCGCCGTTGTTGTATCTTTATCAGAAATACTTTTCCGGCTTCTTATTGTGAGACGAGAAAATAATAAACTTTGTATAGAAAACATTGTGTTACGTGCGATCTTCCTGACTGGGGGGGGCGGGGCACATATTTCTTGCTGCTGCCACCTCTCGTGTGTCCAGGTCATGTTATAGCTCAGGGGTGGGCAACCTCGCCCCTCTGGCTGTTGTGGAACTACAGGTCCCATGAGGCATTGCAAGACTCCCGACAGCCACAGGCATGACTCGGGTCTGGACGCACACTGTCAGGTACTTACACCGCTTGTATTTAATAATGAGCAGAGTTGTTAATTTATCTTTTTTTTTTTTTATCTGCCCAGAGTTCCACTTTAAGCCCCGTTCACATTGAGCGATTTATCGCGCGGCAAATTACCGCGCGATATCGCGCTCCAATGCATTTCAATGGGGCAAAGGGTCCTGCTGTTGTGTGACGCTACAGCAGGACCCTTTTTGGAGCGGATTTAGCCATGATTCAAGCTTGCTCAATGCAAGCTTGAACGCGATATCGCGCAGGCAAATCTCGCGATGTCGCGCAATATGCAAATCGCGCCACAAACGCGCGATTTGCATATCGCGCAGCGGGAACGGGGCCTTAGGAGGTCTGTGTCAGGGGCCCATTGCACACGATTCCACCATGACCTGGATACATGCGTTGCCTCACGTTGCAGCAACAAGACTGTGTGACTGGGTCCGATCGGAGATGCAAAATATAAAAAGGTGAGAAAAGGAAAAAAAACTCAGAATGTTTGCAAAAAGTCCTTTTTATTCACCTCTTTATCTTTCAGTTCACATAATAATAATAATAAGGCAATTTCCCTTTAAGGACAGACAAGGGAGGAACAGAATAAAACGCAGACCGGAGACCCGCCACCCTTCACTATTCTACCCCGCTAAACCCAAACCTCGGCGTACCAGTCACATACCTGCAACAGTCAGCCATTCTGTACGGTGAGCAGATTTATTCTCAGTTCCTGTTGTGAAACTGAGAAAGGAAGTAAGAGGAAATCTCTCCAATGGGGACACAGAATTTGTCTTATTTTTAGCAAACGCACGGAGGATTTTCTGCATCCCGCCTCTCCCTCCCTCCCTGCAGGGTCTGACACCTTCAGAGGAGAGACAGCCAGGGGTGAGAGTGAGGAGAGACAGCCGGGAGAATGAGCAAGGAGACAGGAGAGCGAGGAGAGACAGCCGGGAGGATGAGCGAGGAGAGACGGCCGGGAGGATGAGCGAGGAGAGACGGCCGGGAGGATGAGCGAGGGGAGACGGCCGGGGGGGATGAGCGAGGAGAGACGGCCGGGAGGATGAGCGAGGAGAGACGGCCGGGAGGATGAGCGAGGAGAGACGGCCGGGAGGATGAGCGAGGAGAGACGGCCGGGAGGATGAGAGAGGAGAGACGGCCAGGGGGATGAGAGAGGAGAGACGGCCGGGAGGATGAGAGAGGAGAGACGGCCGGGGGGATGAGAGAGGAGAGACGGCCGGGGGGATGAGAGAGGAGAGACGGCCGGGGGGATGAGTGAGGAAGGTGCTTTCTTTCATCGGTAGATCTCATTTGAGAAGTAGAACTTAACACAAAACATTGTGGTCACCCCTGTTGTAGATCATCCACTGCCCGCGGGTCCACAAGCTTTATTGCAATGCGTAACAAGTCGCGAAGCCGGGCTGTAGCACTTTGCTCACGTCCAGACCCTCTCCTCTGCAAACGCGTTTCGCCCTGACGGGGGCTGTGTCATTTGGTTGAAACACGTTGGAGGAGCGGGAGGGCCCGACGGTGAGCAAAGTGCTACAGCCCAGCTTTGTGACTTGCTACGTATTGCAATAAAGCTTGTTGGACAATAAGAAAGAAAAAAAAAAAGAGGAAGTGCAACCTCTTTATTTTAAGTGATGACTGTGTCCCCACTGGGAATACAAGCCCTCACTTCCTGGTAGCGGAGACACATACACCACTTGTATGCGTTTTCAAGCCCAGAGAAAGCTATGTGCGCAGGAAGGCACAAGATGGCCGCTGCTGTTCTGTGTAGGTGACAGGTACACATTGAAAACACAATAAAATAAAGAGGGAGGAGTTAGTGCAATGCGGGGGACGGACGGACGGGGCGGGGAGACACAATAGTGCAGAACTGAACACGTCGTCATTCAGAAATCAATTGTAAAACTCAGTTCTTGTTCATGGATTGTACAGATCGTCGGGAACGTTGTCACTTGGTTTGGTGCCGACAAACTCCTCCTCCCCCTGCAATCGGATCGCCGCTGTCCTCAGAGTTCTGCAACAAGCTGAAAATCTCATTTCAATGTGAGCTGCGTGATGTCATGTCTATCCTCCGACTTCAAGGACAAGTCACCGATCTAGAAGAATTATGACATGGGCTCAGTGACTTAAAGTGACATTAAACCCTCAGATTTTTTTAACATAAAACAATACTGTAATGTGTGCCTTACTGTAATCCATGGTAGTTTCCCTTCTCTTTGCTGCTCTGCCTTTTAAATCCTCATGTCTTCTCATGCTGGGGGAGAACTTCCCTTTGCAGCTGAGTGCCACTTCCTGTAGTGCTGGCTCAGGTTGTGAACCTTCACACAGACACCGTGTATCCATTCCAGAGACAAGGCAGTCTGCTGCAAAACAGAAGTTCTGCCCAAGCATGAGAAGACATGAGGATTTAAAAGGAAGAGCAGCAAAGAGAAGGGAAACAACCATGGATTACAGTAAGGCGCACATTACAGTATTGGTTTATGTTAAAAAAATCTGAGGGTTTAATGTCACTTTAAAGTCAAGAGACCTGAGGATCAGCATGACCAGGTGACGGCCAGCAACGGCGCTCCTCCAATTCAGCGCAGAACGTTTACCGATCAACTGACTGATCCTCATTCCAGATTCACAGAGGAGCCTCCCCCCATCACCTTCTTATATCTCTCTACCCAAGTTCTCCAGATATCACAACCCCGCCATGGTGTCCTATGGGTTGGGAATCTCGGCACTCCAGCTGCTGTGGAACTACAAGTCACATAATCATTGCAAGACTGACAGCCGCAGGCATGACTCCCATGGGGATTTGTAGTTTCACCGCAGCTGCAAAGTTGTCCTACACCCCCTCCTCTAATGGCGGAGATGCAACTTCGGTATTACGGCTGTTGTGGAACTACAAGTCCCGCAATACATTGCAAAGCTCACTGCCGCAGGCATGACTCCCCCAGGGATTATGGGATGTGTAATTTCGCCATAGCTGGAGTGCGGAGGTTGCCTGCCACTGATCCAACGAGTTCTCTGTAATGTGGAACCAAAATATAGAGGAGTCCAGCTCAACGCCGGTATTATGGGAGGTTCTATGAGATGGACCTCAAAAGGTGAAGTAATATCGGTATAAAGCAAATTAAAAGCCGAAATATGATTACTTTATTATACTCCATCTACAAAGTATAAAAACAATTGCAATGTAATACCTCATTATGGCCACTAGATGGCGCTGATGAGCATAGGAAAGGAGCATTTGCTCATTAGCTCCATCTAGTGGCCATAATGAGGTATTACACGTGACATGAAAAGAAACTATAATAAAACAGTTCGTTTTTTGCCTTTATTCACCCGAAATAAATGTTCACGGAGATATACAGAGCAACTATAATTTATAAATAGACCCTTATGTGTATCCAACTAATATCAATGAATCAAGCGGTATTAAAACCATATAAATGTGCCCTCCTTACCATCTTGTCTTGAATTGTATTGTAATTTCCTGACACCAATACATGGCAGCATACAATGGGTATGGCTCCGCCCCCAGCCCATTGTATGCTGCCATGTATTGGCGTCAGGAAAGGAAAATGACCGATAGGCAAGTATACAATTTTCCGTTGTCTTCCTTATATTGTAAAGTGCTGCGCAAACTGTTGGTGCGATATAAGTAATAGGCCAAGGTATCTTGGCCGTGTTTGTGGGAGGAGTTGCGGTGGCTCTCCTCCCCTTAAGAAGGGTGACAGGGAGCTTCAGGGCACGTCACAGCGAGGTCGCGCTTGACCCTCCCCCAGGTTCTATCATTTCACTAGAGCGTGCCCACTTATTTGGCACGCTGACCACAAAATCATGGCACACATCAGGTTGGTATCAGTAGGGGTCATGAAGGTTCGGAAGCCTAAGTAACTCTGACCACAAATCCTGTATAATAATAATAAAATTACACACACAGTAAATTCCCCATTATCCGGCATCCACGGGGATTGGTAGATTCTGGATAAATGTAGTTTCTGGTTGCTTGAATGTTACTATTAAAATTGGGTTTAACTAATGCCATACCCCGTACTACACCCCCCATATATCATTATACAGGATTTATATAGCGCCAACAGTTTGCGCAGCGCTT